CAGCCCTCTCCCCCCATCCACCTTTCTGTAGGTGGAGCACTAGAATCCATAAAGGGGGAGACAGGACCAGGCGCTATGTTGATTGCGCAGAGGCTCCTGCAACCTACTCCTTCAGCACCCCACCAATTCCTATCCACTTCCACATGCCGCGTGGGCAGGAGGACGCTGGATCCAGACTGCAGGAAGCACCGCCGGGGCAGCAGCACTCTGGTCCCTGGTCCCAGGACGTTGCAGGAACGTTGTGGCAAGCAAGTAGAGGCAGGCACCATGACATAAATATTCTGGTTTCCTTATTAACAGGCTTCCATATATATATAAATATGCTGGAACTTTACATTTATGCATATTTCAGTTTTGTAGTTTTGTCCACATTATGTAATTACATATTACATCAAAAATTATTATGCAGGAAATAGGTAGGGCAACAAATTCAGGACAATAATTTGCTAACACTAAGGAAGTTATAAAAGCAGAAGATAGAAATAATCAGGCATTTGGAGTTTAAATGACTAGTGAGAATAACAGAGAAACTCTGCGTTATTTATTTTGGTAAGTAAAAATAATTTTAATTATTCTTGAAATATAAGTATTTATAAAAAAAAGTTTATATTTGTCAGATTATTGACTTTGGACACACACACACACACACAGGTATACATTGCTCAAAGTTTCCACTTTTCATTTATGGGTATGTTTAGAATACGCTGCATCCATCTCACCTTCCAAATATTTCTGTTATTCACCCTAATTTTCTATTTATAGCATGTCATCTTCATTACCAATTACCACTATTTAATGTTTCATGGTATGCTGTTTAAATGTCTTGTAATATCATACCTTCCATTCACTCAAGAATCTTGTATAAAGAACTGGACTTTGGCTCATCCCCTTACTGTTTACATTTGCCAGAGCAGCAACAAGGCATTGAACCATTTAATAAAAATTTGTAAAAATCTCATATTCTGTGGTATGCATGTGCACTCACGTATTAAACAAACAGGGGAAGCAGGGGCATGATTTAGCATTTCACTTTGTCATAAATATGTGCTCATAAGCATTGAAAGTGTTAATATAATGTTTGCTTTGCCCAAAGAAAATATTGACAAATGTAATTGTTTCTCATCTCCAGTGTGTTTACATGTGATCAGAAGAAAAAGTTAGATTTTTTTTTATTTTATACATATACAAAATTGTTACTTGAGTGTGAAAATGATGGCATTTTTCCTGGGGTTTTTTAAGGAAAATTTGAGAAGTGGACATTAATTAATTAATTTGCATTTTATTTCCTGAAGAAAATAGCTATTTTCAGTAGGAAGTTTAAAAATATTTTTTTTAAAGGGAGAGTACTGATTTTTGGAGAATAGAACTCAAATTAAAAAAAGCATGTAAAGGTAACCACGTGAGCTGCATAAAACTTTACATAAACTGTTTTACATCTCATATTTATGTACAAAGAAATAAAGTTTTCTCTTTGTTTCCATATGTCAGAGGTATTTGAATATTATGAACTCATTAAATGCAATGATTCTCTATGACAAGCCTTTATGGCACTGCATATGTGTGTGAGATGTCATGGTGTGCCCGGGTATAAGAAACAGGGAATAACAGTCCTGTCTCTCTTATACAGAGGGCTTGGAGGTATGAGCTGAGCATTCTAATTAGTAAAATAAAATATTTGAGGGGCTAATTTGAAATTGTTATAGTGAGTACAGTGTTCCTTTAAATAGTACTTACAACGCAAAAGTACATTAATTCCTGAAGTGCTGTAATGCATAGATGCAACAACGAACCATCCTTCTTGGGTGATTTCAACATAGTCTCTCTACAGTCTAGAGATACATTGTCCATGTGCTTTTTGGTCGAACTTTGCACTGTTGTTCACTGTCACTGTATAATGATTTACCTTTTTCTCAAGCTTAAAGAATGAAAAAAAGAAATACATTATCTGTGTGCACGTATGTACAATTTTACAATTATAAACATAAAGTATACATACATTTGTATGCTTTATGAATACACACACACAAACACATACACACACTCACAATCTACTATCAGTAGGTCTGAAAATGTAAAAAAAAAAAGTGACTTAATAAAACACATATTTATGTACAAGGAAATAATGTTGATTTTACAAATGTCAGCGTCTGAATATTAAGGATTCTGAAAGATTGGTCACAGTTCTCAATACTCAGATGCATTTTAAAATACAAGACAATAAAATATAACTATGTAATGTCTTTTTTTAAAAATCATATCTGAATAAAACCTAAAATTTCCCCATTATTCCTTTAGTGATAACTGTTAGAAAACCAGAGTGTGTTACACAAACTTTTATTACAATTTCCTCCCAGATATGAGCTGTAAACAGACCTTGCAAATGGTTTGACCGTGAACTGAGGGATGATGGTCGCAGCCTACAATCACCATAAACACGACAATGGATTTTATGGTTATATTGTCAGACTGCAACTTGATTGAAGGACGGCTGTGCTGACAGCTATATATAGCTTGTAAGATCAACAGTAAGCAGACAAAGAGGTAGACATAGGTTACTTCTTCCTTGTATCTAGAATATCACAGGGATAAAAAAAAAAAAAAGAGAGATAACAAAATAAAATATATAATGGGGAACTTAAAACCCTTTAAGGGACACTGTAGGCACCATAGCTGCTTCACCTCATTAAAGTGGTTATAGTGTCTGGATTTCACTGGCATTGTTATTCTATTCAGTATTAAACCATTTTTAATGTTTTAATGCTGAGCAAGAGTCCCAGCAACTCATCCCCTCTGTGCTTGGGGTAATGAGGAAGCATTAGACTTAGCAGCAAAGGACGTTTGTGATTGGCTGAGAGTGTCAGCTGACCACATTCAGCCTATCACATTGTTCTTGCAGGTATGAATCAGTATGGCTTCAAGGAATCCATATTTAACTTTACCTTATTACCAGTAGGTATAGGGTTAGCAAGCCAGAGACCCTCATTCAAGCCTCATCCCCTCATTTAAGGCACACCTGTGCAATGATCATGCTGTCTAATCAGAATCTTGATATGCCACACCTGTGAGGTGGATGGATTATCTCGGCAAAGGAGAAGTGCTCACTAACACAGATTTAGACAGATTTGTGAACAATATTTGAGAGAAATAGACCTTTTGTGTACATAGAAAAAGTCTTAGATCTTTGAGTTCAGCTCATGAAAAATGGGGGCAAAAACAAAAGTGCTGCGTTTATAATTTTGTTCAGTGTATGTATTTGTCTGTTGGAAAAATAAAATTAAATGTAGAAATCAGACACCTCTTTCTTCTTCTATTTTACTACTAGACTTTAACGTGTCAGAACTGGATTATAATGTAATTTGCTAGATCTTTCAATGAAATGTAAAAGAAAACGAAAAAAAAAAAACAGGTCGTCACTGGTTATACAGGATTTTAAATATTTTACTCAGTGGTTTAAAAGTGACAGTAAGTGGCTACAGACAGGTAGTGGTAACATTCTAATGTGTATATACTCACGTGTCTGCCTGGCCATCCTTTGCCTTCTAATGCTCCTAGAAAGTTAGCTCAATCCGTGCTCTCATTGGCTGAGCTGTGTATGTACGCTGATAAGGAAGTATTTTTTCTGGATTGGGCGGTGTGACTTTCTTTTTATTTCTTTTTGCAAAAATTGCAAAGAGAATGCAAAAAAGTAGATCATCTCAAAGAGACCAAATGTATTACAGCTGTGTCGGTGCACAGAATAACTATTTTAAAAACTGTTAACGTGACTGATTTGATCATGATTTTTATGATTTATTAATTGTTTTTATTTATATTTCCTCAGGAAACTTTGACAATGGATGGTTTTGGCAAATCTGAGTTACCTGCTTTTGCGTGGACAATAATTGCTGCAGTATGTTTTGGTTTTCTTATAATTCTTGTATGGTTCCTGTGTAAATGTTACAATTCAGTTTATCAGAGTTGTACCAACGTGACAGCAGACCCTACCACCATTTCTACAATCAATTCTCAGTTTAATACGGGATACCAATCAAATCAAGATAATAGACCTCATTTCGCAAGTCATAATTTTCCAAGTACTACAGTCCCGCGGACGGAACCCATTCGCTTAACTGCAACTCCTAACCAGGCCTCTTTGCAGAACACAAACTTTACTATAGCTCAAACAACGCTCATACAAGATTTACCACCTAGCTATGAAGACGTCATTAGACAGAAATGATGGTAACCTTGAATTAAGTTATCAAGTGTATGAAGTATTTTCTGGCCTCTATTTACCTCTAATTGCCAGACAGCTGCGATACAATCATTTTATTCTTCATCAAATCTCATCTGGGCCATACAGAAAATTAATCTTGAACTGATTGTCACTAAAATTCAGATGTTTGAAAGGCTTCAAACAAAAACAGTAAAACAATTCCAGTTTTCTTACTAAACCACATTAATACAGAGTCCATCAGGGACATGGGGCTGGAATACGCTCTTGAGAACTTTTGGACTTAACTCTTGATTTTCTTTTTCCACAATTTAGTTGCATTTTGCACTCGCGTCAGCGGTATTAAATGTAGACGGGTATACGGTGTCAGTGGGATCCTCTGTGACTGTTTTCAAGTCGCTGAGTGGAAGGAAGAGTTAAAAGAAAGACGTATCAGTCTTCTATGCTGTGCAGAGACACGTACTCCTGGGAGGTACAACCTACTGAAAGAACTGTTGATCCTGAACTCAAGTCATCAGTACATAGTGAAAAAGAGTCAGAGAAGGAAGTTTCTACGGCAACCCTTGCATGATACAGTTATTAATTTCTTTATCATAGCATATAATTAAATATTAAAGGCAATACTTTTTATATCCCACTTAACAAAATGTGGAAATCATGTATGTTTGGTTGAAAATGACAATTTTACCCACCTTGTTCGTTACATAAGATGGCAAAATGGTATTGTGGACTATTTAAAGCTTTATGATAAATCTTTATAAAATATTCCTAGAATAAGATGGGGGAGGGAAGAAATAGGTCTTCACTAAAAATTGGCAAATAGTGAATTATTCTGAGATAACTACACAACGATAAAGTGAGTGAAGCGGAAGGACCAATGGGCTTTGGGGGACGTCTGTAAAAAAATGAATAGGCTATACCATACCACAAAAACTGCATCAAACAGGAGGGAGGATTGAGAGCAATCTATCGCATAACAACACTCCAACACTCACAACATAATGAAAAAAAGACGCATATATCAGTTAAAAAAAAGGGAACATACGTTGACTTATTTAAATTTGTTAAAAATCATCATATTATATATAGAAAAAAAAATTGTTAGTATTTATGCTACCATTATAAGTCATTATATGCCATTGTATTGAAATTTAATATTTGTGCACAATTTGATTATCCGACACTGTTGTTATCATATAAATCCTTTTTGGGTTTTGTACATGTATGGGGTTGTTACACAGTCTTCTGGGGGGAACCACTTGCTGCAGTTAAGGGGAATTTTTATATTGATTTTACGGTTGCAGTTGACTTTGGAGAGATTTCATCCCATCCATATGCCGTCTTAGACCTTGGAGAGGTGTTAGCCCTTGATTTATCCTGGCAGATGGTAAGCCCAGGATCGAGTTTTTGTGACTATTTTAGTTTAATGTTGTTGACTATGTTCATTTTTGTAATTCCCTTTCTTTCTCCTGTTTCCTATACACCATCTTTCCACAGTTGGACACATGTTAATGACATGGATCTTGATCACGATGGGGTTCCGACTTTCAGACGCTAATAACACATGCAATAACAACACAAATTGTTTCCTTGAATGTCAAAGGCCTAAACTCCCCACAAAAGAGAAGACTGCTATTTAAGGAACTAAAGAAGCTTAAAGTAGACATTGTGTTTCTACAGGAAACACATCCTAACAAGTCTAGAACACTTTCTCTTACAGACAACAACTGTTATTCCATAATCACAATGGAATTAGAATCCTTTGTCATAAACATTGTGAATTTCAGAAAACCAATACTGTTCAGGATCCAGATGGATGTTTTATTTTAGTGTCAGGAGTTATAGGGCCACGCAAACTTCACCTGCTTAATACCCTGAATAAACCTTTTTGGGAAAAACTGGGTGACCTTATTGGTCCACTTAAGACAGACCTCCTGTTAATAGGAGGAGACTACAATGCGGTCTCATGCACGGTGGACGATAGGAGTGCTAAACTATTATAATCTCAAGGCACAGAGGGTAAGATAAACTATTATAAAATGTATTAGCATATCTAAATTAGTAGATATATGGTGTACACAGCACCCTGGAGAATCTGTTTACTTATTTTACTCGTCCCCCCATTCAAGAATAGTTATGTTTCTTTCTAACCTAAACCTAGTGTCGAGTCTCTATAACTCAGTAATTAACAACATCACATGGTCACTCAGACCACGCAGATAGGGCAATTTACAGGTGATATAGGTGATGTGGATTTGGGGTTTTCATGAGCTGTAATCCATAATCAGCGCACTTATGACAAATCACGGCTTGAACTATCTTGCTTTGCATGTAATGCGTCTATCTCATATATTAGTTTCCCCTTTTAGTTTGCATTACTGAAATAAATGAACTTTTTTTCTAATTTTTCGAGTATCTTAAAGGTTTATCTTCTACGTGACCATGGACATGGCGCTTGAACTCCTCATTGTTACAAGAGGAAGGGGAAGTATCTAGAGCCTTGAAGCACTATTCCAGAGAGAGTGACACGCCGGAGATAAAAAAGATGACCCTATGAGCAGCTCACAAAACTGTTATCAGAGGTATTTTACTTAAAATAGCCTCCCATAGGAAAAATCTTAAATTAGAACTACATTTTAATCTCCAGAAAAATTTAAACGGGGGGGCGGGGCCGGGCCGCCGGGCCGACTGGAGGCCATTAGCTTGAGCTCCGGCTGTGAGCTCGTGATAACAGCACAAAATACTGTTCCTGACCGCTTAAAAGACGGATCCTCCGACACCAGTGCACGGAGAATGACCTAAGCTTTTACCCGCTACCCGCATGAAACTCCTCGCCTGTCGGGTGAGTGGAGGCGGCCATCCCCGGCCTACCAACGGCTGAGAATCCGACCGCATGCGCATCCGTGGGGAAGCGCTGAGCCGAGGCACCCGGGCAGAAGAAGCCACGAGAGGAATACTCCGACAAAGAGCAACTCCCGGTGGGGGTTATCCCGGCCACATGGCGACCGCTCGTGCCGTGACGGGAGCCCCCGCTGCGGTAACGTGCTGGACGCCTATACTGGCAAAGCCTGCATACAGCACAGCCAGCCAGCAGATGTGGGAGCTGATAAGGTGGAAGCCATCCGCCTTCAAGAGGAAGCACCTAGGAAGGGTGTGGAGCAGAGCAACGGCTGTGTGGAGGATGGCCAGCCGGCAGATGTGGACACTGCCACGGTGGGGAAGGTACACTCACCTGAGGAGGCAATCAGGCAGAGATAAAGGAGACCTGCACTATTACAGAGGTTGGAGACCTAATGCAGCTGCACCCCACTGCCTGTGTATGTTCTCCCTCAAGCCACCAGTGACTGATCAGAGCTGTAGTAACCATGAAGAATACCCACCATGGCGAGCTGATCCAAACGGCCGATACGGACTCTGGCATTGCTGAGCACCAGATGGATCCCTCGTGATGACTGCCCGCCCGTCAGAAAAAGTGAGTGCCCAGGCATCTGGGTCTGGGAGGTCCCCGGAGAGCCTTGTCCCTGATGCTGGGAGCCCTGTGGGGCTGGTCTGCGTGGCCCCCCCGGTGGACCGGTGGCCGGGGGCGGCGGGCACCGGCTCCAAGTATGTGGCCGGCGCCAGGAGAGACATTGGGACACTCGCTTCCCTGGGCGGTGTTGGGGAGGTGCAGGGAGCAGGAGGCCCGCGGACTCTAGGTGTGGGGGTCAAGTGGACTGTCTCTGCCACCGAGTGCCCACAGCACCGCGGGGGACCCATGTGATGGGCTGGGGTCGCTCCGGGGAGGACGGACGGAGACTCGGCATCCCAGGAGATGCACTGCGGCCGTGCCACGGGAGGCCCTCATCGGACAGATACTAAGACCAGCCTGGCTCCTTTACTGTTACAGTTATTACCGTTAATTTATTTTTGCTTTGTTCTGTATACATCCATCCTTACCGCATGCCTAGTTCACGACGCATTAGACGCAGTAATAGGGCTGCTAGCTATGCCTAAACCCCTGCTTCACGATGCCTGACTAACATATCGTATAAAAACGTGTGTACTTGAGGTAGCAATGGGACCCGAATATAGTTTTGGTAGGGACGCTACAGAACGACACCCCACGTGGTCCTGCTGTCTTCAGCTGACAAACCTTATTAAATTGCAAAATACAACACCCTCTACCACAACACACGCCATATTGCTATATATCGCCTCACCGGGAGACAGGCAGCCACCCGACGCTCGCTTTCACAGTGCTCAGGAGATAAGCTCCGTTCAAGACACCTAGCGCATGCACCTGGCTCAAGAAGAGCCCGCTTAACGCACACAGACCTGAACATTTAGCCACGCATCTAAGCAAGCACTGCACGTATTGACCATTTCATACTTAGCACCCGCATATAACGTGCACAACTTTTGAATCTTAACTGAGCTTCCCTTTTGTCAGTCCTAATGCTATAGTTTTTTTAGATTTTATACAAAGCCAAAACAAATCTCGCAAACTTAATGTATACTTAATCTACTTAACTGCATGTTTTTTTTTAACCACGTATAAGGCTACCTATGCGGAAAGCGCCATCGCACGCAAAGTTAGACATAGGAATGGCACAGATGACTAAACAACCTACATAATGCGTTATTATACCTGTTAAATGCCCTTGTTATACCAAATCTTGCAAAGCCTGTGTACATCCAATTTACTTTGCTTTATTCTCGTCTCATCTGATTTATATGCCTCTGCGCAGGCAACCAAATGTTATTTTTAGCAATTCAAAAAAAAGTCTGCCTACGCTTCTTTGCGACTTTAATAAACATATTTAAAACAGAAAAATTTAAACAAACTTGAATCAAAACATAAATCTACCCTTTAGACACAATATTTACAGAACTCCAAAAAGTCCATTCCCAAATTACAAATTATTACTAGATGACATAACATGGCAAATATAATGGACAAAGAGATGCTTCCATTTGGTTATTAACACCCAGTTCTTACAAGCAACCAAGCCCTGCAGAAAAACCTAAGCAGAGACTGGGCCCCTAATAACAGCATTGATTATCAACACCCAGTACTCACAAGCAACCAAGCCCTGCAGAAAAGCCAAAGTAGAGGGATTATCTCTGAAAGATCTATTCAAGAATTACATGTACTACTTATCGTTTCCCTTTATTTCTTAATTTAAAATTCTGTTCTATTCCACCTCCCTCCCTATCAATTAAGTACTGAGGATTCATTACTTAATTGATAACTATTATGTCTCCCATCCTTATCTTCTGCTTTTTAAAGTTGGTGCATTTATAGTCTTGGTTTTTTATGTTCATTTTTTATGACTTTTTTGTTAATTATTTGTTTAGCTAGCTATCTTTCACTGATAGTCTTGTAAATTGATGTTCACTGTTTATGACTTTCACCTATCT